TGTCACGGTTGACGAAGCAGTTCACTTTGGGAAACCAGTGTGAGACCTTTCTCAAGTGCCCCCAGTCCTTACTCTAACACAGACCCAAGTCTCCAGAAGGAGGCATCCCTGGGCAGATCACCCCGGTCCTCTGTCCTGTGAGGGCCTTTTTATAGTCACGTTTTAGCGCACGTACCTGCCCCTGCGGGGCTCATTTCAGTATTTTTAAAAATAAATATTGTTAGCAAGCATATTGTCCATTACACTTCTTTGTCCCTTCTTATATAAAGACGCCTTGGTCCATAAGGCACAAGCCCAGAAGATGTTTCTCCTTCACGTTGAAAAGCTGGGCTTCCTACCACTGGACAGATGAGTTCCCACAATCAACTTTCTTCCCCTTCTGGTTTATGTCTTTCTTCTTGTATTTGTTATTTTTGCTCTTGTCTTGTAGCTGTTATTTCGTGTCTTAATATACCTGTGCTTTTCGGAGAGTTGTCTCAGGCCACTGGGCTGGAGCTCTGTGTGGGCAGGAACCTACATTTGTATTTCACAGTTGGGTGCTTAGAACCTAGCACAGGACGGACCACACAGAAGGTCAAATGCATGCACGAATGTGCGGCATGCATACAGTAGGTGTATGCAAGAGACCGAGAGATCAGCAAGTTTAAAATGTATGGAAGAGAGGTGCCTGGGTGGCTCAGTTGGTTGCGTGTCCAGCTGTTGATTTCGGCTCAGGTCATGATCCCAGGATGGTGGCTGGGATTCTCTCTCTCCCCGCCTCTGCCCCTCTACCCCACTCGCTTGCTCGCTCGCTCTCTAAAATAAAAAATAAATTTAAAATCAATTTTAAAAAAAGAAAAATGTATCAGAAGTATGATGATCAGGGATGCTAGGCACCGAGTTGCCTTTAGCCCTGGGAAATAGGAATCCTGCCCCCACTTCAGATCTGAGGGAATAGAGGCTCAGAATGCTAGTAGATGTTGGCCAAATTCAAAACCGGGTCACCCTAAGTCCAGACAGAAGAAACCAGGTGACTTCATGCAGCCCACTGCCCCCAGAGGAGACCACCTCTAAACACAGCCATGGCGTCAAGCACCTCCCCCTCCGTGGGTGACTCACGCGCTGATTTCTTCAGCCACAGCTTTTCCCCTGAGTCTCCACCAACCCACGCAGTCTCCCTCCGGGAGGGACTAGTGGGCATTTCGGAGGGAATATATGCCAACCGGGGTCTCCGGTCTCCTAGATCCATCCCCATCCCCAGCCTGGTTTTCCAGTTGTTCTCTTTAGAGATAAAGGGCACCACCAGTTACCCATGGGGCAGGGGAGGGGGGCAGACTCTGACGAAGCTCAGCCCTTCTTTTCCCTTACGCTCTGCCTCTGACCCAACAGCGAGTCCTACAGGTTCTGTGTCCGCTTCTGCCCTGAAGCTGGCCACTGCCACCAGCCTCGGCCACACCGCCCTCTCGCCCGGACTGCCCAGGGCCCTCCTGTTTTCCTGCTTCCACTCTGCTTGTCTTCTGCATTAAGCAGCCAGAGCCATGCTTTCTAAACATAAACCAAGTGGCATCCCTCCCCGATCTCAAACTCTCAAATTCTCTTCATATTTAACATAAAATCTAGGGGCGCCTGGTCTGACTTCGGCCCAGGTCACGATCTCACAGTTTGTGGGTTCGAGCCCCGCGTCAGGCTCTGTGCTGACAGCTCGGAGCCTGGAACCTGCTTCCAGGTCTGTGTCTCCTTCTCTCTGCCCCTCCCCCTCTTGTACGCGCGTGCTGTCTCTCTCTCTCTCTATCTCTCTCTCTCCCCCGCCCCCGTGTCTCAAAAGTAAACATTTTTTAAAAATACATAAAAAATAAAATCCAAAGGTCCCCTGACCCTCCGACCTCCTCTCCAAATGCCCTCCCTCTAGCCCTGGGTGTTTCAGCCATATTGACCTTGCTTTTTCACTCCAGGCCACCAAGCTGCTGCCTCCTAGGCTCCTGCCTCTGCCTGGGCCACACACAGCACTTGTTCTCGATAAGACCTGCTCAGTGAGGCTTGCCCTGACCCAGCTAGAGAAGCCTCACCCCGCACTCTCCCCTTGACCTTGCTTCCTTTCCTTCAGAGCACTTAACGTGAATAAACGTATAGCCAGCACTCTTTGGTGACTTATCGGTTATCTGTGTCCCCACTGGAAGGTGGGCCCTGCTTGGCCATGGCCTATGCCCCCAGCACCTGGCCTGGCTCCAGTAGGCACTCGGGGAATAAATGAGTGAGTTTGCGTCAGTCCTGATTTCTCAGACCTGCTCCTTTGGGGTAAAATGTCTTCACTGAAATACTCGTATGTGAGAGAAGCTCATGCTGAAGGCCTCAAGTTAAGTGATCTTCTTATCCTTTCCAGTTGCCCCAAAATTGGCTGTAGCCACACAGATGTGAGAATGTCAGACCTCATCCAGGATGAAGCACTTAGAAGGGCCATCGAGAGCCACAACAAGAAGAAAACTCGTCACTCCGAGTAGGACAAACACACCTCCCTACAGGGATGTCTGCAGCCTACCTCCTACCCCAGCCATCTGGAGAGAGCGGTGCTTGTCCGAGCCCTTCGACTGGCTGCAAAGTATACTTTGTTGGGGTAAAACTCGAAGGTTTTAAGTGTAATCGGAAGCATTTTTCTATGTCACAACAAAACTTCAAGCATATTATATTGTTTATTTTTGAGTGTCCTATAATTTGAAATAAACCTTTGGTTACCTGCAGCGTGCCCTATCCGTGCACCCCCCGGTGTGTAAACTTCCAATGGTGCAGGCATGGTGGGGCCAGGCCTTTCTATTCCTAACATTTCCAACTGTTTTTTTATTATAGTTTTAACTGAACAACGTCTTTCAAAGGATATTGACGTGGAAACGTGTAGAAACATCCCAGGTGCAAGCATTTTCTATCAGCATCATAAATAACAGCCTGAGGTTATAAAGCAAATTTACTTTGTCTACTGACAGTTCCAAATATGTAAATGCTTTTATTTGTCATTCTGACCAGCCCAGAACGCTCCGGTAACAGGCTTATCAGGGCAATGGTAGTTGATGCCCTTAATGGAAACTTCGCCACAGCCCTCTGAGAGCCTAAAGTGTCGTCAGAAGCAACCACATCCTGACCGTCTCTGCCTTGCTTGGTGGCTCTCATGCCCCTGGGCCTTGGGGTTTTCAACCATGAAGTGGAGATGTGAAGCGAAATGTTCTCTGGTGTCCCTTTGGCCCTGAAAGTCTGTGGACTGAGGAGGACCGGCCAGGTCTTTAAATTGAATGTCTTGGGATATATTCGAATTGTGTGAAGAGTGCTAATCTATTAATAATTTCCATAGCAACCTTTTATCAACCAGATACACAAGGAAACCGAGAAACGTTAACAATTGCTAACATTTTTTGGGCACTTACTGTGTTCCAGGTGCTGTTCCAAGTTGACATATCTATGTTCACTCCTGTAGTCTTCACTGCCTGATGAGAGAGGTACACTTACTATTCCCACTTTACAGATAAGTCCAACGAGGCACAGAGAGGTGAAGGAGCCCGTGGAAGGCCACAGAGCTCCTAAGTGGCTGAGCTGGGACAAGACCTCAGGTAGCCCTAGTCCCAGAGTCTGAATTCTTAATCCCGTACTCTCCTCCTCCCTATTGGTTTATTTAGATCTAAAAATCTATTCAAAGACCACATTTAAAACATGAAGCTTCTGTAAATAAACAAGCATATCCATGCATGTATGCAAAGAGGTGCATTAGCCGGAGTTAACGTCTACTAGGCAGCGAAGGCCATAAAATAACGCATAGTTGAGTTTAAATGCCTAGTCTAAATGGCAGAGTTAATTTTGAGAACACGTTCATGGAATTCAGAAAGGAGGATGACATTCGGTTGTCTACAAACCAAGTCAATTTGAATTTCTTAAGCTGCTTCGTCTGAATCAGACCTTCCTGAGGAAATGATTATGTTTTAAGCCAGAACAGACTTTTCATGGAATGTGGTTCTTTTGTGAAATACTTTGTTTCCTAAACAGATAGCGACAAGCATGAAATACTTGCCCAAGATTTGATTTGTGTTTTCCCCGACTCTTTCTAAAGAGAATTCCAGAATATTGGTGTGGACACCAGTATCCGTTCGAAAGATGCCAAATAACACCATTCCGCTGTGGAAGAGGTGCAGCCTTTCGTATCTTGTGAGGTTTTTTTTCCTTCTTTTTTAGTCTTCAGAAGCTATGTTTCATGAATTTGTCTAGCCAATTAAACAATTTGAAGTTTTATATAGAATTTATTTTCATCTTTGAAGATTTGCCATTTGGTTGTCCTAACATATTTGTTAAATTTGTTACAAGCGTTTTCCAAAAAAAGTGAAACCTTTTCTTCAGTGAACTCGTATTGCTCGTTAAAAGGGGAGCAGCTCTAGTCGAGAGGAGTTTCTATCCCCTTCTGCCAGGGCGGCCCCAGAGTCCTGTGTGAGATCACCCAAGGCCCCGCAGGTGACATTTGAAAACCCTACAAGACATTGTAGCTAAATCAATTTTTTCCCGTATGTGACATTTCAGACTTAGACCACTGTATGCACATGGCATCTTTTTAAAAATGCTAGTTCCTTGGGGCACCTGGGTGGCTCCGTCGATTAAGCGCCCGGCTTTGGCTCAGGTCATACATAATCTTGCAGTGCATGAGTTCGAGCCCCGTGTCGGGCTCTGTGCTGGAAACTCAGAGCCTGGAGCCTGCCTCAGATTCTGTGTCTCGTCTCCCTCTCTCTCTCTGCCCCTCCCCCACTCGCACACGCTCTCTCTCTTTCTCTCTCTCAAAAATAAATAAACATTTCAAAAAAGACTTTTTTTAAATGCTAGTTCCTCGAGGGGCGCCTGGGTGGCTCGGTCGGTTGAGCGTCCGACTTCAGCTCGGGTCATGATCTCACAGTCTGTGAGTTCGAGCCCCATGTCGGGGTCTGCGCTGACAGCTCAGAGCCTGGAGCCTGCTTCGGAGTCCGTGTCTCCCTCTCTCTCTGTCCCTCCCCTGCTCATGCTGTGTCTCCCTCGGTCTCAAAAATAAATAAAAACATTAAAAAATTTTTGTTTTAAATAAATAAATAAAAATAACAATAAATTCTAGTTCCTCGAAAGTAACTTCCAGTGAAGTTTAAAACATTTCCACACACTCCAAAAGATAAGACAGTTTATCCTTTACCTTATGTAGAACTTCAAACACCGGGTGTCCGGCTTAAGGCAGCTCCCAGTGAGTGTGGCTTCCTGCCCACCAGTCGCCTCCTGAAAGTTCACGCGAGGACAGGAGGAGGAAGCCCCGAGGCCACCGTGGACTCATCTCTGGCTACACTGCAGGCTCATGTCTAAGTACCTCAAATGTATCACCTAAGTTAATCCTCCCCACAATCCCAGGAGGTTGTTATCACCCCTGTTTCACAGATGGGGAGACCAAGGCTCAGAGTCATGAGGTCATTTGCCCAAGGTCACTCGCTTGTGCGTGGAAGAGCCCACATTGGACTGGAACGGTGAGTGCAGAAGCAGCCCTCTGACACGCGAGGCCGCGGAGCTCCCCGGGGCTGCGGAGAACACATACGTGATCAGACCTGCGCGTCTGCCCCACCTTCCTTATTCCCAGTTCTGAGACCACCGTTTCCCAGGCTCACAGACCCCGTCATCCCCGGGCAGACCCCCCAAGTCTGGGCGCTCCCTCTGTGTTTCACGCTCAGACCGTTCTCTGACCTCCCGTCTGCCCCCTCGCCATATTAATCTGCTAGAACACCGAGGGGACAATCTCACATCCTACTCAAAAACGTTCATTCCTTTCCTACAGAGTGGAGTTCAGGCCCGGCACTCAGGATTCTGCCACAGACCAGCTCCCCCCTGTTGCCTCAGTATCCCCTGGGCTCCCCAGCACTCCGGTTCCCCTCTCTTGACGGCAGGTTTCCTCTGGGAGCGGCTCGCCCCGGTACTCCCGCCTGCCACATACAGGCGACCTTGGGTGAGTCACTGTCCCTCCAGGCCTCAGAGTTTGCGGGTGAACCGAAAGATTTGGGCTTCTCCCCAAGGTTTCCATAAACTCTTAAGATTCTGTGTCATGTGTTCAGTGAACAGGTCCTAAGGGAGTATAAGCCCTTTTGAAGGAAAACAGGCTGATACGGAAATTAGTATATATTTGAACCAAACGTGCACGTCGCCTCTTCAACTGCTCGCCATGTTTTGTGTTAGCCTCTGGATACAAAAATCTCCCCTCCGGAGGGGGCTTAGTGTCTAGTTGAGGAAGACGGATATTTGAAAAATAAATCCCATAAGAGGTCATGTGAGCACCGTGTATAGACGATGGTGGCACAGACAAAGGAAATAGAGGAAAATTGTCGAGTAACCAAACACTAGGAAACCGGGTACCAAGACTCAGACCAAGTTAAGGAGTCTGTGAAACGCGTTTGGGAGGATGGGGAGTGAATCGTGAGGGTGTTGTCGGAAACTTGTTTCGTTTGGGAGATCTGCCTGCCGGCTTGTGTCCGACTCCGAAAAAGGGACTCACTTCTGAAAGGAAAGCAGTTAGAACAGCAGAAGGAGGAGCCCTCCTACCTTGCTTGGGGAGATGGGAATCAGTGCAGCCACTTTGAAAAGTCTGGCTTTTTGAAAAGGTGTTAAACATGGGGCTCAGTCAGTTCAGCATCTGGCTCTTGATCATCCTCTCAGGTCATCATCTCACGGTTCGTGGGTTCGAGCCCCGCGTCGGGCTCTGTGCTGAACAGTGTGGAGCCTGCTCGGGATTCTCTGTCTCCCTCTCTCTCTGCTCCTCCCCCACTCTCTCTCTCTCTCTCTTCCTCTCTCTCTCTCTCTCTCTCTGTCTCGCAAAAATAAACACACACCTTTTAAAAAAGGTGTTAAACATAAACTTATTGCACAACCCAGCAAATCTACCCTTAGGTATCTACCCAAGAGAAGTAAAAACATGTTTGCACAAAGACTCGTGTGTGAACGTTCATAAGTAATATGATTTATAATCGCGAAAAAAGTGGAAACAATCCAACTGTCCAGCTGGTGAGTGTATAAACAAAAGCAGGAATGGCCACGGTCGGATACTACCTGGAGATAGCCGGAGTGGAGAACTTACGAGCTCATACTATCCTGTGGGACTGAGCATTACATTACGTGGAAGAAGCCAGGCACAGAGATCATGTAGTGTATGAATTAATTTCATTAAATGAAGTGACCAGAAAAGGGGTGCCTGGGTGACTCAGTCAGTTGAGCGTCTGACTTCAGCTCAGGTCATGATCTCACCGTTCGTGAGTTCGAACCCCGCATCGGGCTCTCTGCTGTCATTTCAGAGCCCCCTTTGGATCCTCTGTCCCCCTGTCTCTCTGTCTTCTCCACCCCCAACCCCTGATTGCACAGGCGCGGGCGCACTCTCCCTCAAAAAGAAATAAGCATTTTAGAAAAAAGAAGAAAAGCAATGTCCAGGAAAGACAAATCCATAGGGACGGAAAGTAGATTCGTGGTGGCCTGGGGCTGGGGATGGAAATGGAGAGTAACTTGCACAAGGGATGGCTTTGGGGTGAAGGACGTGTTCTGAAACTGGATTGCAGGCCTTGAGATTTTCTAAAAGTCACTGAATTCAACTCTTCCAACAGTGAATTTTATGGCATATAAATGTTCCAAACCAGCTGAGTGGAGATTGCTTTACAGGTCAGGGAGGAGAGCGCTTTCTTCATGATCATTTGGAACTAGCCAGCAGCTATAAGAAGCTATTGGTGCCCTGAATTCAACCGGGAAATCAAGGCTGAAGAAACACAGGATTAAAACTAGTAGTCACTAGGGGCGCCTGGGAGGCTCGTCAGTTAAGCGCCGACTTCTGCTCAGGTTGTGATCTCACGGTTCGTGAGTTCGAGCCCTGAGTTAGGCTCTGTGCTACTAGAGCCTCTCCCTCAAAATAAACTTAAAAAAAAAAAAAAAAGTAGCAATTACTAAGGAACTGTTAAGGGTTAACGAGAAGCTAAGACTACTGACCGACAGCCCTAAGGAGCTTAATTTTACCTATTTCTATTTCTTTATGTCCCTATTGTGTAGGTATCTTATATGCATTGATCACTAATAGTAACCAATAGTTCTAATCAACGGCTTTATTTTATGCAAAAAGGTGATTTTATTAAAGCACGGTGATAGGACCCTTGGGCAGAGAGCTGCACTGGAGTCCTGAGGAGCGACTGATTATATCCTTTTAGGTTTGGCGGGGAGGGGCGGTTCGAGATAAAGTTAGTTTTTAAGGGATTTCTGTATGCTGAAAGCAGGGTCTCACAGGACCTGAAGATTTAACTGTTGACAAGATAAGGTTGCTTTTAGTTTTTAAAGGAAGTGTACGCATTAAGGCACACACATAAAGGTCTTGGGGAATGTTACCCCCTGCAGGCGTCTGACATCTGTCAGTGGGCTGCAGGCTGTAAGGAAATTTAATTTAAGCTACATTTTTCTTGCCTTTGTTTCCCTCATCATTTTCCCCCCTGAGCGATTTTGATCCTTAAATCTTTAAGGTTGTTGAAAGCGGAAGGTCTCATCTCCCGTAGCTTCCTCCTGCTAGATAGGGGCGTAGAGACGTCCCTACTTATGGGTCAAGGTTGGTCAGTTGAGAATTTAATAGGAGTTAGGAAAGCCTCAGGCAGCTGTATCTAGAGCTGATAACATATGGGAGTTTTCTCGAGCAGAAAGGATCATCTGTTGGCTTGAAGTTGTGGCAGTGAAGGAGTGGAGAGACCAGGGAGAAAACAGCAAAACATGTTAAATTAACCAAAAGAAGAAGCCCAAATCTGTCCTTTGACAGTTGACAAAAACCTTCCTTTAGTCCAGGAGTTTAACCAATTATTAAAGGGAGAGGGGGATCATTTAAAGCACCAATACGAGTACTTCTCAACTAGAGACTCAGAAAGATTTTTGCGGTAATCTGGAACGTATACACAGCATTTTGTTTTTATGAGAGCACAAGTTCTACCTTGTGCAGCAGTGAAAACACCTGATGCCGTTTTAGTTTGTAAAATTATTCCGTGCATTTGAGTTATGTTAGTGTTTAATAATATAATGTTATTTTGAGAGTCTTTTAAGGCCTCGATTGTGTAGTGGGTGGTGTTAACCATTGTATAGACTCTGTTTTGCTTAGTAAGCCGTCAGGTAATTAACAAGAGGTACTTTTATAGAAACAAGAAGGTTAATGGTTAGAGCAGGTTACAAACCCAGTGCTGCCAGGGAGAAGATATTTAGATGTCTGCCTTGACGCCTCTTCAGATGGGAGTGGGAACAGGCAGTGGGAATCAGATGGGTTTTTCAGATTTGGAACTCAAATGTCTGTGTCCTCTTGAATGACCCAGAGGACAACAGGCACAACCATTTTCTCTACATGAGTTTTTGTGACGATTTCTCTGAAGCTTACCTCGAGTCGTGTAGTTTGGGCAAGCAACAAACCTTTAAAGACCACCAGAAGTAGCATTTAACATCCATAAAGGTGCGTTGATGAAACAGAATTTTTCTCTCGAATAGCCTTCATTTCCAGAGATAGCCGAATCAAGACTAATTTGTTTGTAGATCAAGTCCAGTTTTAACACACTCGGCCTAATTGTTTACATAAGCTCAGCCAGAACAGCGATTGGTCACGTAGATCTTTGAAAATTTGTTTTGCTGGAGCTTTTTACGAGGAATCTAGATTGAACTTTTAGTAGCCTCTCCAAGCCCAGAAGCCAGGCCAAGTACTTGCCAACAGACATGCCTGCAACACCTGTCAATTTGGGCGAATTCCTCTTCACGAGGTCCCCAAGATATCCTGAGGTTCCTGCACCTGCCGGGAAGGGACATTCTGTGCTCACCTGGAGAGGATGCTGGGAACTCCATAAGTGATGTATCCGGCCAACATTTCCAGGGGGCCTTATTGGCTTCATGCTTCATAAAGTCAACCTTAGAATTCCTTACAACTGTTTGGTCTTATCTGAGTCTATGAATGTCGGTCTCAAATACGACATTCCAGTCAAAGCCTTGGTAAAATAACCAGTGTTTCCAACGGTGTCCTGTTACAAGGAGAACAGAGTCTTACTGAATCTATGCAAATAACTGCCATGAAAAGAAAGGTTACTTACTGAGAGCTTTTGAATTTCAGAGGGTTCAGGTAGAGACTACTCTTTTTTTTTTTTTTTTTTTTTTTTTTTTAAGTATAATGGAGTAAAAGTTCTGGCCATTTCTGTTCTCTGTTCATCCTGCTGTTGGGAAGGAAAAAATTCAGTCCCTAAAGATGACCTCGTAATCATTCAGCGGATGGCAGAATGACCCAATGTAACGATGCCATAAACATTTCTGGTCACAGAAAGGAACATTGAGTGGGGATTTTTTTTTTAATTTTTTAATGTTTATTTATTTTTGAGAGAGAGAGCATGAGCAGGGGAGGAGCAGAGAAAGACTGGGAGACACAGAATCGGAAGCAGATTTCAGACTCCCAGCTGTCAGCACAGAGCCCAGCACGGGGCTCCAACCTATGAACAGCGAGATCGTGACCTGAGCCAAAGTCAGACACTTAAACAACGGAGTCAACCACTTAACCCAGGCACCCTGAGTGGGAATTTTTTTAGTGAGCAAATACAGAACTGGTTTTAAAACAAAAAGAAAAAGCAAGATACAATTTTGAAAGGAAGCAACCCAAGGATGGCCATCCTTCGTCGTAAACGGAATACAAACCAGAAGTGCAGGCCATTAAAACGGAGTCCGTATGCTGCTGGAATGTATGAGAAAGGTTGTCACTCACCGGCCATTAGGCTCTGCATGGGAGCCCCCAGCTGAGTTTCTAGGCTACTTTTAGTCACCACAGTTCACAAAGAACACAGAGACTCTGATTAGTCTCTGATTAGAGAACAGCAAAAACCAGGCTAAGGATGATGAAACGTGGGTGTTATGCAGAAAGGATTTGGAATGTTGTTGCCACAGAGAAAAAAAAAAAAACTGAGGCTTCTGTTTTGTACCAAACAGGGGACTTTGTGAGGAATACGCTCCAAGACAATTGGCACTAAGTGCTACGAGAGGGCCAATGAAAGGATCTTCAATACTCAGAAGAAAAAGTACTGTTACATCTTAGCACGAGGCTCTCATCCGGGAAACCATGGGCCCCCAGGGGACTGTGGATAAAATTCAGAAGGTTTATGAATCAGTACGGGGGGAAAAAATTACATCTTTACTTTTACTAATCTCTAATCGGAACTTAGCATGTCCTGCAATTATAAACTGCAGTATAATTAACAGTCCCTGTGACTTTATCACCAATAAAAATGATAACTATTTTCCTGCTGCATTGCTGTTGCTATAAAGGTAAATTTACACTCACCTCTTGAACTACTAAGTTCTGTTCTGGCAATGATGGACAAACAGGCATGGGATTTGCCCTCTCATCTTTTACAACTAAAAATCTGGACAACATCTATGATTTTTCAGATGTTGGACAACAGGACATTGGACACTGCCCTTGCTTGCTGCCTAGAGAGTCCCTGGGCCCCCTCAGAGAGAGGGGGATCCAGCAGGAGCCCTGGTGGTCCGTCTTTATTGAGGAGACAGAGCTGAAGGTTCAGGGAGGGCAAGCAGCTAGAATTTGCAGAGCAGAGGACTGGAAAGGAGACAGCTGCCCAGAGAGGGAGCTCTGGAGATGTTCAGAGGGTCCCCCTGGAGTCCTCAGCTAAGCCATCATCAGCTTGTGCCAGTGAAGAAGCTACCTGGGGTAGGGAAAGAACCTCCCAGAAGATCGGAGAGAACACACATCTGAACTCACACAGGCCTGAGAATGTTCCTTCTCCCACTGGCCAGAGTGGGGCAAAGTTAGCCCTGGACTACAGGATGTTCTCCTCCTACGTAATGATGCTTCAAAGCAAGTTTCAAAAGCAAGGGTAGGCAAGTTTTTATGGGAAGGGCCAGCCATTAAATATTCTCAGCTTTGCAGGACATCTGTTCCTTGTTGGAGCTACTTAACTGTGCCATGGCAGCATGGAGGTATAGCACCGACAGGACGTGAATGAATGACGGTGGCTGTGTTCCCATAAAACTGTGTTTACAGACACTGCAACTTGACTCTAATTTTCACATGCCGCAAAATATTATTCTTTTTCCCAACACCCTTCACCAAAATGAAAGATAAGAGCCTAGATCATGGAAATGATTCTCTGCCAGATGGAGGAGTAATGCTATGAGTAAATATTCAAGGTCTGTTGGTTAAGCACCTGACTCTCGATCTCGGCTCAGGTCATGATCTCATGGTTCATGAGTTGGAGCCCCACGTCGGGCTGTGTGCTGATGGCACAGAGCCTGCTTGGGACTCTGGCTCTCCTTCTCTCTGCCCCTCCCCTGCTTGTGTGCTCTCTCTCTCTCTCTCTCTCTCTCAAAATATATAAATAAATAAAATAAAAAAGAATTGAAAGAAAAGACTAAGGTTGGTTGAAATACAATACGGCACAAGCATGGAACCTTCCGGAACAGGATGCTTTGGCACCCATGGGCTGGGTGATGGTGGTGAGAGCTCCCTTGTACTTTATTTCTGTTCTCCTACCACATGAGGTACTTTCTACCTCATGATTTATTATGGGTACGTCACCTCCCTCCCTTGGCCGTGTTCTCTTGAGGGTGGGGTCCACAGCTGAATCATGTGTATTTCCTATGCACCAAGGTTTGTCAAAGTAAGGTCCAGAAGCCCCTTTATCAGACACTCTGAAGAGCTTGCTAAAATGCAGATGCCCAGGCCCCACTCTAGACCACTGAGTCAGAATCCTGGGAGGCAGGCCCTGCAATCTGCATTTTAACGAGTGTTTTGGCGGATTCTGAATCACACTCCATGTGGAGACCGTATGCACCTGACACACAAAGTTATTAATGTTGAGTTGATAAAGCCAAACAGAACACACACACACACACACACACACACACACACACACACACAAGTTACAGCTATCTAAACACCACACTTTTGTGTCAAAAGCTCCAAAAAGACTGTAGGTAAATACAGAAAGTTTTACATCTTTTTCTTTCTTAATGTTTATTTTATTTTTGAGAGAGAGAAACATAGCATGAGCAGGGGAGGAGCAGAGAGAGGGAGACACAGAGACGCAGAATCCTAAGCAGGCTCCAGGCTCTGAGCTGTCAGCACAGAGCCTGATGCGGAACTCAAACCCACAAACCTCAAGATCGTGACCTGAGCCAAATTTAGACACTTAACAGCTGAGCCACCCAGGCGCCCCAGTCTTTCTTTTCTTTTGAAACAATAGTCTGGGGGCGCCTGGGTAGCTCAGTCAGTTGAGCGTCCGACTTCAGCTCAGGTCATGATCTCACGGTTTGTGGGTTCAAGCCCCGCATCAGGCTCTGTGCTGACAGCTCAGAGCCTGGAGCCTGCTTCAGATTCTGCGTCTCCCCCTCTCTCTGCCCCTCCCCTGCTCACACTCTGTCTCTGTCTCAAAAATAAATAAAAACATTAAAAACATTTTTTTAAATAAATAAACAATAGTCTGATGAGTAGAAAGCCTTGTGATGCAATTCATCTCAATTCCATTCATCACTCTCTCCCTACCTTTTCAGATTTCACTTCATGGATTTTCTTTAAAAAAAAAAACAAAAAACATTTATTCATTTATTGAGATACAGAGAGGGAGGGTCAGAGAGAGAGAGGGTGGTACAGAATCCGAAGCGGGCTCCAGGCTCTGAGCTGTCAGCACGGAGCCCAATGTGGGGCTCGAATCCACAAACAGATCATGACCTGAGCCGAAGTTGGACACTTAACCAACTGAACCACCCAGGTGACCCTCATGGGTTGTTTTTAATTTACCCCCTTGACAGCATCTCTTCATCTACAATCCCCAGGACCTCGGATACGTCAAAGTCTTGATTAAAACAAACCGGAACAAAAAACCTCTCACGTACCTTTCACCTTCCAAAAGTTCATATACATTGAAAGCATGGAAATAGACCAATGTGGTTCCTGAAAGAGATCTCCAACCATCCCCCTCAGCTGGATCTAGGCTCCGTTGATATTTTTGGCGTGGACATTGGATTCCCCAAGAAAGTAGTGTTTCTCAAAACTCCAGTTGTTCCAACTCCCCCATCAGAGGTTTTGCCGTATCGACTTGTAGCCTGTGTTATTATTTGCTTAGTTTTCTACTCTAATCAAGTCACTCTAAAAAAAAAAAAAAAAAAATTTAGCCTTCTCCTAAATAATAATATATGTGAAAATACATAATTACATGAAATTACAGGCTGGATGTGCTAAGTATATTTTAAACATATTAAAGTGAATACGTAATTACCGAAATGAAAGAAATAGATGTTCTTGAGGCCCGTACAATCATCCTGGGTGGCCCTTTGGGCAACTCCTGCATGGAGCCCTACTAGGGGTCCAGGCCAGCCCCCAAAGCCATTCCACACCCACCAGGTTCCCCTAAGGACCTCCCTCCACACGCTGCCAGCATTGAAATAAAGAAGTCCCTTGAGAACGCGTTGGCTCCAGCACGAAGCTTGGACTATTAATCATCGAGGCCCGCCCGCCCGCCCGCTGCGGTTGAGATTTCAGCACGCATGGGCAGAAAGAGCAGGCCCGGGAGGGGTTGGTTCGTGCTGACCACCTATCCGAGTTTCACTTGAGAAGTGTGAGCCGGGGAATATTTCTGAGCCTCCGGGGCTGCCCGTCCTGGCTCACGCCCACAGAGTTCGGCCAGGCACCCCTCGTCTCCCCTGGGTCAGTAGCCGTGAGCTCCCCAGCATGTCCCATCTGTTTCCTTGAGGCAGGTGACTTCCTTGTCATGCATGGGAGCTTCCTAGGGGGAAGCCAGCTCTTGGCCCCGGGGAGCGCTTGCGTTCTACAAATCCGTTGTTGCTGTGGGTCTGTGTTTGCCCTCGAGGCCGTGTCCTACACCCCCCCTTGTGTCTGAGGTGACTACACCAGCAAAAGAAAACAAGCTTCACACCTCACGGAGCTGAAGGTGAGGCGACAGCTGGCTGATGACGGCTCATGACTCACCCATGTGGATCCTGGACCACAGGCGTGAAAGGAGCTCCCACCCAAGGGCACATATCAAGTCACAGATGAGAACCCGGGTTTGGCTGCGCGGAGAGTGACGAGGGATTGCGACATGTTTTCAGCTAACCTCAGCTCTGCAGAGCCAAGCACTCGGGGAGTGAGGTTTAGGGAAGTCAAGCGTCCTTGGGTTGGTTTCCGAGAACAGCTGGGCATGTCAGAAGACGTGAGTTCCAATTTCACTCTCTTTCTTACTAGCTCTGTGACCTGAGGTGACTCCCATCAACTTCTCTGCGCCTCTGTGATTTCACCTGTGAAAAGGAGGGATTGCCCTCTGCTCCGCTTGCCTCCTGGGCCGTCCGGATCCAGGGGGACCTCACATGTCGAAGAAATAGAACAGGAATAGCAGAAGCCTGGCCGGACGCCTCAGCCCCTGTTCCTGCTTTCAAGGCGAATGCATTTTCTTTGCATACGTGTGCATGAAGGAGAATGAAATAGTACAAAGTATCAAGCAAACTCATAATGGGCTACCTTGGGAGGGGGCAGGGGCGGGAGGAACCAGGTTTGAGGGTGGGGCAGTTCATTTCCCTAGAATACATATTCATATCTTTGCAGTTATTTTAGTCTTTTTCAAAGATAATTGCACAGCATTGAATTGCACTGCCGGATCCGTGAGGCAGACACAGTCCTTCAGGAGGAAGGAGAGGGGCTACAGTGGTCCGAAGGATTTTACCAACTGGGAAACTTGCCTGTGGCGAGGAGGACCGATTTGGATAAATGGAAGGGAGCAAAGGCATTCTCCCAGGGGACCAGCATGAGCAAAGGTCCTGAGGCCAGACCGAAGAGGAAGGAGTGAAGGGGAGGGGTGGTGAGGGAGAAGAGAACCCAGATTCATACTGGAGATCTGGGGATTCGCGCACCCAGGGACACACTGGTTGCTAGGTCAGTGTGCACTTAGTGCCCGAGTATGCAAGGCCTGTAGCAAATACCAGAAATGTTAGCACTTGTTTCATTTAAGCGACAATGGAGAAAGAAACTCTCAGGTTTAAAGTGGGGGGGGGGGGGGGGGAGAAAGCCAAAACCATAAGCAAAAAGACCCAGGGAGAGTTAAACCACAGAAAATGTAGAGAGAAGCCGTGCTCAGGGATTTAATAAAATTTCCACATCTTAAAAGTGCACTGGGTGGGGTCTGGGAAGTGAAAGACGAGTCATTTGTACCATCCTTTTCTCGCCCAGGGGAGCCAACTAAGAGCCACCCCAAATGTGGGCTTTGGCTGACGGAGGAAGCAGTGGGGGAGCTGCACCTGTGCAGGGGGCAAATCTGACCTCTCCCCACCCAGACCAAGGAGTGTGGCAGGAGATGCACTTGGAGCTCAAGACCACCAGCTTCCCACCCTCTCTGGACGCCGCTCCCTCCCAAACTGCCCGGGGACAGACGGGGCTGAAGCCTGCCGTTCTGGGCTAGAGCCCCGTCCAGGAGCCCCAAGACTGGCCATGGGATTGGTGGGCGAGTCCCTGACCCCTCCCAGCCCTGGGCCCCCATCCCTGAAACGAAGGGACGGGGCCCCTGGCACCTTGCAGCGGTGGCCAGGAGGGTGAAGTGAGACCAGGGCTCAGTCTGGGCACCGCTGTCCGTCCAGGTCGTTTGCTCACAGCACGAATGAGAAAGTTGGATGCGGCAGTGGTCATGAGAGCAGGCTCCTAGTGACAAAGAATGCTTCCTCTGCGAGGCCCCTCGCAAGCAGCCTCTCCTGGGTCTCCTGGACTCCCAGCCCCACCAGGCCGCGTGTGAACCCCAGTGGGGGAGACAAGAGCCAACCCACTGCCGAAGCTGTCCTGGGAGGCACCCCACGCAGGCTGTGGGAAATGGCGCCCATTTCCAGGGGGTCCACCCGACAGACTTACCCGCAAACTTGGGGACCCACGTGTGTGAGATGGAGGCCTCGCGCCAACAAGGTAGGCAACGCCATCGCCTTGGATTTGCACTTCTGTCCTCTGAGTTTCAACACTTTTTAACGCTTGTTTGTTTTTGAGAGAGAGAGACAGACAGACAGACAGAGCCTGAGAGAGAGGGAGCCACAGAATTCGAAGCAGGCTGTCGGCAGAGAGCCCGACGCGGGGCTCGAACTTACGAACCGCGAGACCGTGACCTGAGCGGAAGTCGGAGGCGCAACCAACGGAGCCACCCGGGCGCCCCGGTAGCTTCATCTTAAGATGTGTGTTGAACAGGTGCTATGTGCCCAGCTAGGCTCTAGGGTTACGGCAGTGAACAAAACAGACAAAAGGTGAGGGGACGTGGACAATGAAGGCAGAGGAGCAAATGCAGGGGTGTGGGGGTGACGAGGGCCAAGGGGAGAGACACGGCAGGGCCAGAGGAAGGCGTAGAAGATGCAAATAGGGTAACGGGCTGGCGGCGAGCTGCTCGCAAACTCTCCAGGGCTCAGACAGGCTGAGGCCTCTGTCCTAGTTGCCTTTCACGTCGATGTCCCAGTCTGTTTCCTCTGCTCAGTCTGCTTCTTCCGCACCCCACCCCACCCCCACCCAGATGTTGCGTGCGAGAGCGCACCCAACACGCCTGCATGCAAATCTCCATCTCGGAAACTATTTTCAGGGGACCCGACACCAAAGAAAACCCGTATTTCAGAACTGCTACCTACACTGTACCTCCACTCCATCATGGGTCCCACTGGCAGTGCGGGCTCGCCTCGGAGCCCCCGTGAGTGTCCCAGGGAGAACGCGTTCAGAGGGAAGACCCAGGACAGAGTTTCCATCACGATTCCTTGGGGAGAGGTGGACCTCGGGGTTTCCAGGCTGGAAGCGGTCTTTCTTTGTGGCATTTTCATCCAGGGCTTGGCAACCTTCGCCATCTGGAAGTTCTTTCTTACTTCAAACCGGAATCCCTCCTTCTGTGATGTATCCCCATTTCCTCTCCCTTTTCCTCCGTGGAGCGGTATTCTTGCCAAGAAAGAAAGTTAAAAGGGAACAAAGACATATGGTTTTCCTATTAAGACGGACGCCCACATTTAAGCAGAAGAGAGGAAAGCGTTCACATTAGGGCAACGGAAATACATTTGCATGGCACCAACATCCGAAATTGCTTTTTTTTTTTTTAAAGTAACCAAAACAATGAGTGCCTCTTTTTGTGCACTTTATTAAACTTTTAGACTATTAAGGAGACACTGGGGACCCCTCCTCAGAGGCCAGGGTAGCACGGAAAGCCCTTGGATTTGGAGTCCTGACATCAAGCATTCAAAACCCGTTTCTGCCACTCGCGAGCAGTGTGACCATGGTGGTGACCACGGGGAACGCTGTTTGTCTTTGAGACTCAGTCTTCCTTGTACAGTGGGGGACACCAGCTGCCCCGGCTTCTGTCACAGGGCTACTGAGAGTTGATGTGAGGACGTGGAAAAGCCCAGGAAACCACGATGCACCAGAGTGATGTGAATGCGCTACACCAAAGTCCCGGACGGTTTCCTGAGCAACCACCAGGGACAGAAACTCACCATATTTTTTCTACTTGAGAAATTGACGAACCGATAGTATAATTCATATGGAAACGCAAAGGACCTAGAACCATTCTTTGGAGAAGAACTAGGGGCGCCTGGGTGGCTCAGTCGGTTGAGCGCCTGACTTCGGCTCAGGGCGTGATCCCGAGGTTCGTGAGTTCGAGCCCCGCGTCAGGCTCTGTGCCGACAGCTCAGAGCCTGGAGCCTGTTTCAGGGATTCTGTGTCTCCCTCTCCCTCTCTGCCCCTCTGCTGCTCATGCTCTGCCTGTCTCTCTCTCTCTCTCTCAAAATAATAATAATAATAAATAAACATTAAATATTGAAAAGAAAAGAAAAGAACCAAGTCCTATGGCAAAGCTGCAGTGGTCAGGTCGGTGTGGTATTGGTGGAATGACGGACAAATGGAGAGTCCGGAAACAGACCTGCACGTGTATGGATAACTGATTCTGTTTTACATGGGTGCAGAGGCAGGTCTGTGGAGAAAAGATAGCCTAGTCAACAAATAATGCTGGGACATTTGCATATCCATATGCTAAAGAGTGAATTTGGGCCATACCATGTACCGGAATACAAAATTTTTTTTGAAAGAGTGGAGGGGTGCAAGTGAGTGAGGGGCAGAGGGAGTGAGAGAGAGAGAGAGAGAGAGAATCCCACAAGGGGCAGAGAGAGAGGGAGAGAAGAGGGGCTCACCTGAAGCAGGGCTCGAGCTCATAGGACGCCGGCTCAAACTCACAAACCGTGAGATCATGACCTGAGCTGAAGTCAGATGCTTAACTGACTGAGCTGCCCAGACGCCCCCAGATACAAAATTTAAGTCAAAATAGATTATAAGTGTAAATGTAAAACCTAAATCTATGAAATCTCTAGAATAAAAAGTATAGAAGGAAAACTTGGTGACCTTGGGTTAGGCAAAGACTCTCAGATGTGACTTCAAAAGTGTAACCTGTCACATAAATGGGTATGTTGAGTTGCATCAAAATTGTAAAACTTCTGCTTTTTTTTTTTATTTAAAAAAAAAATTTTTTTTAACATTTTATTTATTTTTGAGACAGAGAGAGACAGAGCATGAACGGGGAGAGATGGAGACACAGAATCGGAAGCAGGCTCCAGGCTCCGAGCCATCAGCCCAGAGCCTGACGCGGGGCTCGAACTCACGGACCGCGAGATCGTGACCTGAGCCAAAGTCGGACGCTCAACCGACTGAGCCACCCAGGCGCCCCATAAACTTCTGCTTTTTTAAAGCTACTCTTAAGAGACAGATGAGCTAAGCTACAGACTTGGAGAAAATATTTGCAAATCGTATTATCTGATAAAGGACTGGCAACCAGAATATATAAAGAGCTCTCAAAACTCAATAACAAGAAAGCACACAACACATTTACAAAATGGGCAGAAGATCTGAAGGGACACTTTGTCAACAAAAGATAAACAGATGTTATCGCTCACTCTCTCTCTCTCTCTCTCTCTTTCCATTTCCCCTCCCCCACCCCCAACCAGGTGAGGACACAGAAGGCATCAATCTGCAAACCAGAGCGTCCTTACCAGAACTGGACCAGGCTGACACCCCGATCTCAGACTCCCAGCCTCCAGAAGCGTAAGAAAATAAGTTGCTGTTGTTTAACACAACCCAGTGCCCAGCGTTTCTTATGGCGGCCCGAGCAGACTAAGACAGTGGCTAAAGTTGAAGACTGATGATACCAAGTGTCGTCAGGGAAGTGGAGAAAGTAAGTGGGACATGCATACATACACTGTGAGGATATACACGGTACAACCACTTTGGAAACCAGTTTAGCGGTTTCCTACAAACCTAAATTATAACTGCCGTGATCCACCCATTCTTGTCCTAGGAATCTGCCCAAGAGAAGTGAAAACATACGCCCACAGAAGGACTGGTTCACGAATACCCTTCGCGACGTTGTCTGTAACAACCACAAACGGGAAACAACCCGACTCTCCACCAGCATGTGAATGGATAAGCAAACGGTGGTGCCTCTATCACATAGAGGACCAAGGCCGGAAGCCCCTGCGCCATGGGCTGAGTGTCCAGTCCCCAGGGCGGAGCCTGGCAGGTTCCAGGTAGGCTGTCTGACCGAGAGCTGGCCCGGTCCTGCACAACGGGACCCTCAGAGCCTGCTGGGGCCCGAGAGCAGAGGTGACAGCCGGTGGCCGTCTGAAGCGTGGGTCTGTGGGCTAACCTGGCCACGACTCGCCCCACGACCTCAGGCTGATCCCTGAATCCTTCTGGCAACAGAAATATGATTCCGACTTCAACTGAACTTCCTCTGGAATTCCCCTTGACCCCTGACCCTCCCACACAAGCCTCCCCACTCTGGGCTGTGCCTGCCTTGTTGTTTGGTTGCTCCTCCACGAGGGTGGCCACACGCTTGTTCACCATTGCTCTTAGCAAGTGGCACACAGTAGGTGTTCAACACGTTTGCCAATTGATCAGAAACATCTCCCATGGGGCGCCTGGGTGGCTCCGTCGTTTAAGCGACCAACTTCGGCTCAGGTCATGATCTCACGGTCCTTGGGTTCGAGCCCCACGTCGGGCTCTGTGCAGACGGCTCAGAGCCTGGAGCCTGATTCGGATTCTGTGTCTCCCTCTCTCTCTGCCCCTCCCCTGCTCATGCTCTGTCTCTCTCTGTCTCAAAAATAAATAAAAACATTTAAAAAAAACCTCCTATACTCTAGGCACTTGACATATGACCGCTCATTTAATTTTCTAAACACTCCTGCGGTGTGGGTCTAGTCATCCCCATTTTAGAGATGAAAACACTGAGGCTGAGTGAAACGACTTGAGGTATCCAGAGACACGGGGCTGTAAAGAGGTGGTGGTGGAATTTGAACCCGGCTCATTAGACTCTGAAGCCCCTGAGCTTGCTGCCACACTGGGCTCCCCAGTCTCTCATGATGGGATGACTTGACCTGACCTTTCCCCCCCCTCATCATTGGACCCCCCCTGAGACAGAGCCTACAGAAGTGCCTGGCAAGTCTCGCTGCACAGAGGGGAATGAGTCAGGCTGGATGGCTGGCCAGTGGCCTCCAGTTCACCTGACTGGCTCATGTTTGGGGTATGTCACCTGTGAGCCCGGTTGGGTTTCTTGCAGGTTCCCACAGAGACCGGCCTCTTCTAGGAGCCGTCTGACGCTGCCTTTCCTCCCTGACCAGGCGATGATTCCACTCGCTCTTCCCGAGGCCTCAGCCTTCAGCCCGACCGAATCACTCAGGGGAGGTCAGAGCTCATAATTATGTCATTAATCCTCATGTGGCAACACACTGGAGGCTGTTTTCTTAGCACGAGGCAGGGCCTTATGGGGAGCTTCTCTCTCTGCGGCCTTGCCCTGTCTGGGTCCGCAGCCCGGGAGCGGGGAACCTCCTTCCACAGAGCCCAGAGGTGTGGAAATGTGATGCTGGGTCTCCCGCACCCAAGAACCTGCACCCCGCTGTGTGTTGTCAGTCTCCTGGGGCTGCTGTAATAAATTACCATAAACTTGGTGGCTTAAAACAACAGAAATTTATTTTCTCACTGTCCTGGAAGCCAGGCCAAACATCAAGGGCCTACTGAGATGATCCAAGATGATCTCATCTCAAAATGCTTAATAACATCTGTAGAGACCCCTTTTCCAAATAAGGTCACATTCACATGTTCCCAGTGGACAAATATTTTGGGAGGGGCCACCATTCAGCCCCTACACTCGAGAAGTTGCCTCCACCAGTGCCAAGTAACCGCATAGACACATCCCTCCTTGCTAGATGCCTCTGTCGTCTGCCCTTTCCTCTCCATCCCAACAGCTACTATCCTATTCAGACTCTCCCTTCTATTGCTGGGACTGGTGCAGTAGACTTCTAACCTGCTCCATTTTCATCTCTCATTCTTTTTACTGCTCCAGAGGGATGTTTCTAACCACCCAATTACCCTATATCGTTCCTGCTTCACACACTTTAAAAGCGCGAGTCCAAACTCCCAGGTGTGGTGTTGGAGGCCCTGACCGGCCGCTCATCTGCTGGTGCCTTCCACCAGAGCCACCAACACTGTAAGACCTTTAAACAGACCGTCCTCTCACCTTGCTTACGCTCCTTGTTCATTTCCCAGTCTACCCACCAGAACTTCTGGGAGGTCTTCCCCAGTCCTGCCACGCGTCCCGAGCACCACCGTCGGCCCCGGCTCCTGTCACTCATCAGCATTGTTCGCCGATATGCCCAGGGTCTTCTTCAATAGAGCTGGAGCTCCTTGGGGGCCGGGATGGCACATTCTTTACTTTTGTAAAGAGCTCGGCACATAGCACGTGCTGCGTGAGGTTCACGGTGTAAGTGGCCTCGTAATGGCAAATCGCGCAGAAGCAGAGACCCTGCTTAACTCATTGGCTTGACCCTGACAGCATCTTCCCCACCCCTCGTATCCTAAAGCTGTGGGAACTGAGCTCCTACAATGCACAGCGGAGTATGCTTGAAATAAGCAAAGCCTGCCTTGGCCACTAACGCTCTGTACAACTTGGGCAGGTCCCTGGGTTTTTTGGAGTCTCTATTTCCTCATCTGAAAACGGACACTGATTTTGTCGCCCTCAGAACAGTAGTCGTGTAAACACAGAGTCACGACTTGGCCCAGAAATTCTGCTCCTAGGTATACGCCCCAGAGAAATGTGTCCACAAAAGAACCGGTACATGAATCGTCATAGCATCGTTATTCATCATCGGCAAGAGGCGGAAACAACCCAAGCGCCCATCGGTGGATGAACAGATAAACAAGATATAGCGTATCCAGACACCAGAATATTGCTCAGCAGTGGAACGGAATGAAGTACTGACATGTGCTACAATGCGGATGAACCCGGAAAACGTGATGCTGAGTAAAAGAAACCAGCCACGAAAAATCACGTATTATGTTTCCATTTCTATGACATGTCCAGAAGAGGCAAGTCTATAGAGACAGAAAGCAGGTTAGTGGTTGCCTGGGGCTGGGAGGGCCTGGAGGGGGTGGGTGAGGGGTGGTATCTAAAGGGCACAGGGGGTTTCTTGGGGGGATGATGAAAACGTTCTAAACTTGTGCAGCCTTACGAACCATTGAGTTACGCACTCTAAAGGGTGAACTCTATGGTATGTGAATTATACCTCCACAAGCCCGTTCCGAAAATAACCAGTGGTGGCAATGCCCCAGAAGGGTCCAAGCGCCTAGGTTCTGGGTTTAAACAGATCTGGGTTTAAACCCTGGCTCCACCACTCACCAGACACGTGAGCTTGAGGAATATTAATTAACTTTCTGGAACCGCAGTGTTTTCATCTATAAAATGGACACAGCCCAAATACCTACCTCCCGGGGATGTTTGGGGGATAAATTAGATGAGGCTCATAAGGTCTTTGGCACAGAAAGGGACTGCTTGACACGGGCTGTGATCACCTCACTGTGGGTTGTCGGGGACTTCATAGCACACGGACGAAGGGAGGGCTCGGTTTGTGAGGGATGCTGTGTGGTCTCAGTGGCCGGAGCTCCCCCCAGTGACCCCCGGGGCTCCGGGCAGTGGTCTGCTCCTCAGGAAGCAGAGGAGTGGCTTCTAGTGCGACCCCTAAACCATGCCATCGCCCTGTGGTGATGCCAACCAGAGAGGGGGAAGGCGGCCATGGCTGCCGTCCACTTCTCCCCCTTGACTCTTTATTAGTGGTAGTAGTATTCTCAAGTTAGTTCACATACAGCGTAGCCTTGGCTTCAGGAGTAGAACCCAGCGATTCATCTCTTACAAATGACACCCAGTGCTCATCCCGAAAAGTGCCCTCTAATGGCCATCACCCATTTAACTCACCTCCCCACCCGCCTCCCCTCCATCAACCCTCAGTTTGTTCTCTGTTTTTTAAGAGTCTCTTCTGGTTTGCCTCCCTCTCTGTTTTTATCTTACTTTTCCTTCCCTTCCCCTAGGTTCATCTGTTAAGTTTCTCAAATTCCACCTCTGAGTAACATCCCATGCCGTCTGTCTCTCTCTGACGGGCTTCTTTCGCTTTGCATAGTACCCTCCAGTTCCATCCACATCATTGCCAATGGCAAGATTTCATTCTTTTTCATCGCTTGTAGTATTCCGTTGTGTATATAAACCACATCATCTTTATCCATTCATCAGTCGATGGCCATTTGGGCTCTTTCCATAATTTAGCTATTGTCAATAGCGCTGCTATAAACGTGGGGGTGCATGTGCCCCTTTGAATCAGCAGTTTTGTATCTTTTGGATAAATTCCTACTGGTGCAATTGCTGGGTACTAGGGTAGCTCTATTTTTAATTTTTTGAGGAACTCCCAGGTAAGCATGACCAAGGACGGCTGCCAGGGCACCTGAGGGCACTTTGGATGTAGTGAGTTCATCACTCACTGTGGTCATCCACACACTCGGTCTGGGCCCCTAGTTGCCCTTTCCAGGCCCGAGAGGCCAAGCTGGCTCCCTTTTCAGCAGCTGACCCGAGCCAGAACTTGTCCACAGGGCCACCGAGCGAGCCACGGAGGCGCTCCCACCGCTGAGAACACCCTGCGTCCCACACAGACCAAGCCCTCCCTTTGTCCGGGTTCCTCGGTTTCTTCCTTCACCAGCTCTTTGCTGACTGCTTGCCGCCTGTTGCATGCCGACCTCGGGATCAGCAGGTACCTGCCCCAAATCCTCAGCAGCATTTGACGACGTTAATCCACCCTTTCACTTTACTTGAAGAATTCCAAGAGACATCTTTTAATTTTTTTTATTTTTTACTTTTTAATATTTTAAAATGTTTGTTTATTTACTTCGAGAGAGATAGAGAGAGGGGGAGCATAAGCCAGGGAGGGGCACCCAATGGCCATCGATGGATGAATGGATAAAGAAGATGTGGTCTGTAGGGGCGCCTGGGGGCTCAGTCGGTTGAGCATCTGACTTCGGCTCAGGTCATGATCTTGGCGGTTTGTGAGTTCGAGCCCCGCGTCGGGCTCTGTGCTGACAGCTCAGAGCCTGGAGCCTGCTTCCGATTCTGTGTCCCCCTCTCTCTCCGCCCACCCCTGCTTGTACTCTGTCTCTCTCTGTCTTTCAGAAATGAACAAATGTTAAAAAAAAATTAAAGGAAAAAAAGAAGATGTGGTATGTATATACAGTGACGTATTACTCAGCCATCAAAAAGAATGAAATCTTGCCATTCGCAACTACATGGATGGAACTGGAGGGTATTATGCTAAGCGAAATTAGTCAGAGAAAGACAAACCTCATATGACTTCACTCACATGAGGACTTTAAGATACAAAACAGATGAACATAAGGGAAGGGAAGCAAAAATAATATAAAAACGGGGTGGGGGGTCAAGACATAGGAGACTCTTAAATATAGAGAACAAACCAAGGGGTGCTGGAGGGGTTTTGGGTGGGGGGAATGGTCTAAATGGGTGAGGGACATTAAGGAGGACACTTGTTGGGATGAGCACTGGGTGTTATAGGTAGGGGTGAACCACTGGGTTCTACCCTTGAAATCATTATTGCACCGTATGCTAACTTGGATGTAAATTTAAAAATAAATAAATAAATAAATAATACATAACAACAACAACAACAAAGCGGGGGAGGGGCAGAGAGAGGGAAAGAGAGAGAATCCCGAGCAGGCTCCGCACTGGCCTCACAGAGCCCGACACGGGGCTTCAACCCTCAAACCATGAGATCATGACCTAAGCCAAAACCGAGTGTGGGACGCTTAACCGACTGAGCCAGCCAGGTGCCCCAAGACATCTTTTAAAAAGGCACGATGTTCTCTCTGTATTTTTCTAATGCTCGTGAAAACAAACGCATACATATTAAAGTGGAAATGATCCATTCAGGCACCACCTCAGATCACGTGTTAGCTCCGGTGGACGTATGTGCCCCCTCTGGGCACCACCCGCCCCCTCCCCAGACTGTCCCTTCTTCTTTTGGTCCCCAGGGTCTCTGACTCGCAGGCTGCAGGGAGCGGTCACTGTGGACCCGGTACCTGGGGGGTGGGGCTCTGCACAGCCCCAGCACCCTGCCTTCACCCAGGCTCTCCTGACCTCAGCCTCCTAGGAGCTGCCTTCACAGCCTTCACAGGTGCCGCCAGGAGGTTAGGGGGGCCAGTCTCCCAACCCAGCAAGCTGGGAATCGTCCTCCCCTGAGCCCCTGCTCCTCTACACTCACCCACCCCACCCTTTTCTCTGGATCTTATGACCGTCTTAAGCGGGTCCCCTCCTCCCCACCTACCACTCTGCGACTGCCAGTGCCTTGATGGGACCCTCGCCCTCCCTGCTGCCGGCCTCTTACAACAGCTCCTACGGAACCTCCCTGTCTCCTGGAGCCCTGCCCCTTCCACTCCATTCCCGGGAGGCAGCCAGGGCCTCTCTGACGCTCGGTCCCCTCCAGTGTTCCCCTGCCCCCCCTCCCCATTCCCTCCTCTTCCCTTCCCCCTCACCAAACTACCCAGCATTCCAGAGCCCGTGGTGCCCTCAGAGCCCCTGCTCAGGCTGAGCCCTTTGCCTGAGATGCCCTTCCCAGTGGCGGCTCGGCTATCACCTCCACCAGGAAGCCTTCCCTGATCTCACCCCAGCTACACTGATCTCAGCTGAGCTTTATTAGGTGGTCCTGCTCCTCTCTCACTCTGCTGAGCTCGTCTGCAGATGACTTCAGGGTCCTGACTGTGACCGGTCCGTCTCCGCACCCCAGAGTCTGGTATGTTGGCTGCACCCACTAACTGTTTGAATTGAGCTGACTTTTCATAAGGCCCCAAGACTGTGGCAGGAAACAGGTTGTCACCACGCTGAGGTACACTGGGGCCAGCTGGAGGAGAGTGGTTTCCAGGGCGGGGTGGGGACGGGGGGTGGGGGGGGCCTTCTCACATCCTTAGCAGCGGGTGGAAATGGCTTTGGGTAAATATGTAGGAAACGTGACTAATATTCAGGCTTCCCCCTGGCCCGCCCCAGCGCCCCTGCGTCGCAGTTTATGCAGGTCCAGCTCTGGGGCCCAGGGCTTGTCCACACATTCCCAGACAGGTGCTCTGAGGGGCAAGAATCCCAATTGTTCATGTTCTCCCAGAAAAACGTCCATGGTGCTTAGAATATCTGTGCCACCTAGGTCTGGAGTAGTGGACCCATGTTTCATCCACAGGGACCATGGGAAGATGGGCAGGGGAAGGGATTTTTGAGATGCTCGGCGGTGTGATCGGCTTGGCCCTCATGATGCTCTATGCGCTTCTTGGGCAAATAAACATCGACAAGAGGGGTCCCCACCATGCGCGCCTCGGAGCCTGGAGCGTGCCCTTGAGCAGCGGGCTAAAAACTCACTGCGTCTTTCCCCAGCTAATCCTCACAAAGGGTCCCTAGGAGCTGGGTGACCCTCGGCTCATTTCAGCTTCAGGAAACTGGGTCCGAGAGGCTAAATCAGCTCCTGTGAGAGAAAGAGGCAGAAGATACAGGGCTGCTTGGTTTTGGACCGTGTTCTTTCTGATGGGCTCTCCGAATAGACAGTGGTCATAACATAAGCTTGTTAAAAACAACAGAGCAGGGTGCCCGGGGGGCTCTGTAGGTTGAGGGTCCCACTCTTGATTTCAGCTCACTTCATGATCCCAGGGTCATGGGATGGATCCCCGCGTCAGGCTCTGCTCTGAGTGTGGAGTTTGCTTGGGATTCTCTCTCTCTCTCTCTCTCTCTCTCTCTCTCCCCCTCCCTCCCTCCACTCCTCACCCCTGTTCAAGCCCTCTTTCTCTCTCTCTCTAAAAAAACCAAAACATGGGGCTCCTGGGTGGCTCAGTCAGTTAAGTGCTGACTTTGGCTCAGGTCATGATCTCACAGTTTCCGAGTTCCAGCCCCTCGTCCCTCTGAGCTGATAGCTCAGAGCCTGAAGCTCTTTCTGATTCTGTGTCCGTGTGTGTGTGTGTGTGTGTGTGTGTCTCTCTCTCTCTCTCTCTGCCCCTCCCCCGCTCACACTCTGTATCTCTCTCTCTCTCAAAAATAAAATAAACAATAAAAAAAAAAGTTTTTTAATTAAAACAATTTAAAAAACCAAAACCCAAACCAAGCCAAATAAAAACCAGACCCGTGTCCACATATGGGAAGAAACCAAAAGCAGGCCCTGATTTTGAAGGGCTGCATATTCCCCCAGGAATCGAAAAGGCCCACCCAGCCCTCCCCCCGCCCCCAATACATGTGGCCGAAGTGGCTGTCAGGGCGCCTCCTCTCACCAGCCGGGCCGGGCCTGTCCTCCGAGGCCTGCCCTCCTCCAGGTGTGCGGGACGCTGCCAGGGTCAGATCCTGCAGGATTCACCTGGTGTCCAGGAGCTAGCCCAGGGCACCTGGGCCCCCGGTGAACGTACCACTAACCGGGCAAGTGGTTTCACATCTCCAAGCCTCAGTCTCTGCATCTGTGAAAAGGTGGGTGGAACCGCAGGAGTGTGGATAAGAGGCTCCAGCGCAGGGAGGCGTGGGAAAGCCCCTGACAGCCAGCCAGCCGGTAAAGTGATCCACCGGAGGGGAGGGTCCTGGTGTTATTATCACCATCTGAAGCCCTGAATGCACTTCCTGGTTTCACCTGGCTTCCAGGAGTTTCCCTAGAAAGGGAGCGATGGACCATTGCTGAAGGAAGGGCAAAGTACAGATGTCCTTATAGGGGATCCGGAACACAGGTAACCAGAGAACTCTGTAACCCGTTCAGAGGACGCCTGCCCCACCCTCTGTCGCCCTGCATAGCTCCCAGTTTGCCGGGCAATTGCTGGGACTCTGAACCACTTGGGGCTGGGGTGCCCTGTGCTCGATCAGCCACCAAAAACGGGACCCACTTGGCCACGTGGCCCACAAGACACAACACCTAGTGCCCAGGATATTCACAGGGGCCCCCGAAAATGGCTCAATTTTCATCTCTTTTGAAACCAGAAGGAAAAAAGAATATAATAATAACGAATATGTAATCACGAATCCAGCCCCGATTATGTTTATCATTACACCGATGCCCTCATAAAATAGAATATCTATTTGTCTATCTATCTGTCAGTCTTATGGAGGAAGGGGTCATGGGAGTCAAAGTGCTGAGAATCCACGAAAGGCCCAGTGAGGCCCTGAGGAAGAGCAGCATCCAGGGAGCAAGGCATAGCCTCTCCTTGTTTGGGACCACCGAGCTGGAGTGAGTGGATTGCAGACTGACCACAATCCTTTGCAGGACTTGTTACTAAAGAGGAGAAGCAGAGTCTGTTTACCCGGCCCTGGAATCTAGGCGGGCTCTCACACTGGCTTTGGACATCGAACGCGGCAGAAGTGACATTGGGTGAGTTCCGAGCCTCGGTCCCAGAGCTCTTGCAGCTTCCGGCCTCTTGCTTTTTATTTTTTTATATATTTTTATATGCTTGTTTATTTCTGAGAGAGAGAGAGCGAGAGCTGGGGAGGGGCAGAGAGAGAGGGAGACAGAGAATCCCAAGCAGGGTCTGCCCTGTCAGTGCAGAACCCGACATGAGGCTCGAACTCACGAACCGTAAGATCCTGACCTGAACTGAAGTCGGATGTTCAACCGACTGAGCCACCCAGGTGCCCCGAGGGGATACATTTCTAAAACAGTGCAAAGAAACAGGAGAGATTAAAGTTAGTAATATAGTTTATTTAACCCCATGTATCCAAGATATTAACATTGAACACCTGATCAATGTAAAAAATATTCACGAGCTATTTTACGTTCTTTTATCATATTAAATCTTCATCATCCAGTGTCTATTTCATATTGGTAGTGCTACCTGACTTCGACCAGCCACATTTCACGTGTTCTATAGCCTCTTATGTCTCGTGGCTACCATAGTGGGTGGCACAGACCTAGGCTGTGTTTCTGAATGTTTGAATTTCACTGGCCAGGAAATATTTCCCTCATACTTCTGGAGGGCAATGTTGCCCATTTTTTATTTGGTTAAAACGGATGTTAAAAAAAAGGAAAGGTCTCACCATCTGTTGTCATCACATCCCAAGAGAAAGAACTTTAGCTGCTCCACAGAATAGAAGGGATATGATCTCAGATAAAGGGTATCTTCAAACTGAACACACTTACCTCCAAGGAAAACTTAACGCACTCTGGTCATTTTTCTCGTTTTGCCACGGATAACAGAACATATCACTCTGCTCCTGAAACCACAGGTCTTATCCATCGGCCCTTAGAATCACCTGGAAAGGAGCTCTAATGGTATTGATAGCCCACTTAATCTGAACCTCGGGTGGGGGCCGGCATAGGTATTTTAAAAAATCTCCCCCCAAGTGATTCTAATATGTAGTTTGGGTGGGAAACCGCTCCTTTGGTTCGAACTTAAACCCCTTTCTTTCAGAAATGGGGGAAATAGGTTAAGAGAAGGGAAGTGAGAGGGCCAGCAAAGGAAGGAGGCCCAGGACTCCATGCTCCGAGCCGAAGCCCTTCTCCCCGAACCCTTACCCCGTAAGGGAACAAGGAATGGGGCCAAGGGTTGCCTGGGCCCGCAGAGCAGTAACTCCAAGGGAGCCAGCTGCTGAGATCGAGGTCAGCAGGGTAAGCAAAGAGGAGGGAAGACAGCACTCCCCGAGTTAAAGAAGTAGGTTTTCTTTGTAAATACAAAAGCCTGACACAGCACGTACGAGTAACCTCCACCTTGAACACCTAAGTGACTTTGTTCTTGGCATTTCTTTTGGCTCACGCAGGGTGGGGACTTATCACCTCTGTGAGAGATAGTGAGCAGCCCTTTGTTAGGGTATCCTTGGCTGTAGCCTGAGATTAAAAAAAAAAAGATTTAAACGACTCCCTTTGCATCTGGGACCCAAGCTCTGCCGCCGACCAGCAGTGTGACCTTGAACAAGTCACTTAACCCCTATGGATGGGTTCCCACGTCCTGGATTTCTTGGGAGACAGAAATGATGCATGAAAGTGCTTATGCAGGAGCGCTTGGGTGGCTCAGTAGGTTAAGCGTGTGACTCTTGATTTCGGCTCACAGTTCCTGAGATCGAGCCCCACGTCAGGCTCTTCGCTGACAGTGTGGAGCCTGCTTGGGATTCTCTCTCTCCCTCTCCCTCTGTTCCTCTCTCACTCATGCTCTCCCTCTCTCTCAACATAAATAAATAAACTTAAAAAAAAAAAAAAGAAAAAGAAAATGTTTGTCCAGAGCCAGGCCGGAGGTAAATTCAATAAACAATAGCTATTATTATGTGAATTATTTTATAAGCACGGTTATGTGCCAGGGACTATTTTAAGACCTTTGTACGTATCAGGTCATTCAGTCCTCATTACAAGCCCATGAGATAAGCCTTTTTGTCATCCTCATTTTATGGATGGAAAAACTGAGACACAGAGTGGCTAAGTCACTTGCCGCAGTCACACAGCCAGATGGTGGCTGAGTCATGATCTGAGCACAGGTAGGACTCCAGCGTCTGTGCTCTTTGAGGTTCCCTGCAGCTACCCACGTTCTTTTCTCCCTTCTCTTCCCCCTCCTGGGCTCTCCCCGAGTGCCTGCCGGAAGTAGCGACTCTGGGAAAGGCCGAGAAGGAGCCCAGAGGAGAGTGAAGAGACGGGATCTGGGAGAGCCGCCCCGTCGCTGAACACCCGTGCTGGGCCAGGCAAGAGGCCAGATGCCTGAGCACGGCCACCCCGGTCCGACTCCTGGCGCTGGGCGCCGGTGGAAGGCTGGTGCTTTATCTCGCTCTCCAGAAGAGCCGGGTGAGGCTGTGACGAGTGAAGGACCCTGCCCTGCAGACTGAGCTCCTTGGAGGGGCTGCCCCCAGCCTGGGGCTCTGCATGGGGCTCTGGGGGAGGTGGACCTACCTTTCTCTGCTCTGCTCATCCTTCCACCGGGAGCACGGGCCATGCCACCCACGCGCCCAGCCACGGCTGACCGCGCCAGGGAGGGAAGCCAGCACACAGGATCCTTCACTGGGGGCCTGTGGCTCGCCCCATTCTGCTGCCGCAGGCCAGGGAGCCCTCTCTCCTCCCCCCCTCTCTCCCTCCCCGCTTCCTTCCAATCAGCCGCCATTCCATTTGGCCTGCTTTTCTTCCTTCCTTCCCTCCTTCCTTCCTTCCCCTTTTTCTATCGATACAGGGTGCCTGAGGACACACTGGTAAAAGAAATAGATGTGGTTGCTGGCCTGCCAGCCCTTGTGGTCTAGCGGGGTGGGGGTGGGGGGAGACGCCAAAGGAATAATTGCACAAAGAGTTTTCCTGTGATGGTCAGTGATACAAAGGAAGCGTCGTTGGATGCTGGGGGCAGGAGTAACAGAGCGACCCAGCTAAGTTAGTTCAGGGGTTCAGCGAAGGTGTCTCTGGGGAAGGGGCATTTCAGCTCACACGTGAACAATGGGTGGGAGTTGGTTGGGAGAGGAAAAGGGGTGAGTGGCGAGGAAGAGGCTTCTAGAAGAGGATTTCGCTGGTGCCAAGGCCCTGGGGCAGAAAGTGTCTGCCACTTTTATATAGAGAAAACTATGTGCCTGGAATATGATGAGGAGATGAAGTTCGAGGAGGCAGGGGCAGGGCTGAGCAGCCTTGGAGGAATTTGAATTTCATCACACTTGAGAAGGATGTTACACGGTTTCGGTAAACGTTCTCAGAAGTCGCCTCTGGCCACCCCATGGTGCCATGCCCTCCCTCCCTCGGGCTTTACTCCGAGCCATCAGCTATTGAGGTCCGGCCAGGCGTGCTGCCCTGATGTCTGACTCGCTCGAGGCACCCCCGCTCCCGCCGGCTCACGGCAGCACCTGTGCTGGGGCCCAGGCCACCTCGTTTCGCACCCCCGGCCCGTGGCCACGCACGTGTGCCCTGCCTTGTGGGAGCAGGCCGGCAGAACATCTGCAAAGCTGGGGCCCCCAATGCGGTCGCTTGGTCCGTCCCCCAGGCACTCCCTTGCCCCACGGATCGATGGTCTCCAATGCACCTGTTCCTCAACTCTGCCCACAGCCTCCCCAGCTCCCCAAGTCTCCTCTCCCCTGCCCACAGAAGCTATTCCCAACTTCTCCCGCGGCCCTCAGGCTTCAGGGTCGCCTGCGCCCCAGCTCCCCACTCTTGCACCGTCTCCTGGTGTCTGCGGGTGTTCAGAGTGCACTCGCGGGGCATCCCCAAGTGCCAAGCAGAGGGCCTCCTGGCTGTCCCCTCTCTGCCCCGGACAGGATGGGGCTCCGGCCTCCTGGCTCCGGAAAGGGGCACCTCGTGTTCCCGAGAGCGCCCCTCCTCTGTGTGCGCCCCTCCCCAGGAACTGCCTCCGTTCTGTTCTGCAGTTACTGACACTTATTCATGTGCAGGGAGAGCTACAATGGACCACAATCAACCTAGTGTTTCCTGAGAGGACATGGCCAAGGGCCGGCTCTGAGTCACCCTCAGCCTCCCCGGCCGCCCCTTCCGGGAAGTGCGTTCACACTCCACATCCTGCCTCTCTAGGGGAAGAGAGGCAGTGGGGGGCCATAAGGCCTTTGTAGTCAGATGGATACTGATACCACAGGGCAGGTCTTTAACTCTGTCACTTACCAGCTGTGCCACCGTGGCCATTTAGCTGAATCACTCTGAGCTGGCTCAGGAGGAAGAGAGCGGTGAGGCCACCTTGCAGGGCTCTGTGGCCCCTGAGGGCCCTCACGACTGCCGAGCACCTGCTGCATGGGGAAGGGGGGCAGGGCTCACACCAGGAAGGCACCACAGACAGTGGCAGACATGATGGCATACGGCCCAGGGGCCTCTGGGAATGTTCTCATTGTCTCCCCCTGCGCCCCCCCCCCCCCCAATTCTGGCTACTGCCCAAATTCACGGGACACGGTTGAAACAACGGCCACTCCTGGGAGAGTGACTTAGGGCCCCGGGGCACTGCCCTTGTCTGGGATGGGCCCTGCTTGGGGCATGTGAAACCACCAGGCAGATGGGCTCAGTGCGCGGGTCAGAAGGCAAAGGGGAAAGAGACCCTTCTCGAGGGAAATTCCTGCTCTAGCCCCCAAAGACAAGGTGCCTGGATATCCCCTCCACCATCTTCCCCAATTCCCACTGGAGCACCCACCCTCCCTGGCCCCACTGGTGTCACTTGTGGTTCTGGGGACACTCTCCCCAGGGCACGGACAGCTGAACCACCACCTCGGAGGGTGTATTTTGGGGGGAAGATTTAGTTTGCTCCTTACGGTAGGCTCAGGGCGCTGAGAAACAAAGAAAAGTCAGCAAGAAGGTAGGCAAGTTACATATCTAAGCAGTTTAATTAAAAGCACTTATTGGACGGGCACCTGGGCATCTGATTAAGCATCTGACTTCGGCTCAGGTCGTGATCTCACGGTTCATAAATTCGGGCCCCGCATAGGGCTCACTGCTGTCAGCACAGGGCCTGCTTCGAATCCCCTGTCCCCCCTCTCTCTGCCCTTCCCCTGCTTACATTCTCTCTCTTTCAAAAAAGAAAAAAAAATTAGAAAGTACATAAAAGTGTTCGTTCATGGGAAAGTTATGTCCATTTCTCATTTCATCATTTGATCAACTCTGCAACAAGCCCGTTTTATAGAAGAGGAAATTGAGGCTTAGTACGAATTTGCAGTGGAGGAACTCAGTCTGACCTCTGGCTCTCCCGACTCTAATATTGATGGCAAAATTCAGCTCTAGCTTAAATTTCAATGAGATGACAAAACAAAATAACCCAAAAACAGAGACGAAAGCTCATATTCCGTGGAGCTGTTCCTTCAGAGTCCTGGGACATTTTAAGCTCTCCTGCTTCTGGGCTTTATCCAAGCTGTCCCCTCCACCCGGGATTCCCTCCCAAACCAGGAGAATTCTACTTTGCTTCCAAGATTGTCCCTAGGTGGGTGTCTTTTCCTCTCCCAAAGAAGCTTCTAGAAGCAGCAGCAAATTGCTACTCTCTTTCCCAACCTATAGTTGAGAAGGTGGTGGAAAGTCTCAGAACTCCTTGGGCTGGCAGCCGCCCCCTCACCCCCGATGCTGAGTGCTCCTTAAAGGTGGACACCATTAGCATCACTGTTCTCCAAGCCCACGTGGAATGTTTGTGGAATGAGTCCACGGATGGGTGGGGTGGATGAGAACCGTCTCAGCTCCGCTCCTGGGTCTGCAGACAAATCTGTGGAAACCCTCAGTTTACACGGACTGGGGAGCACACAGGCCTCTGCGGCCTGTGGGGCTTCCACACCCTCGATCTTTTACAGCCCCCTCAGCAACCCAGTGAGGGAGACGGGCCAAGGGTTTTGATACCCATGTTACAGAAGAGGAAACTGAGCCCCCAGGGAGGCAATATAAGACTTGTACAGTCCTACAGCTTATCACTGGCAGAAGTCAGGGCCCCACGCCAGGTCTGGTGATTCCAGGCTTCTGTACCTTCCAACACCCCCCGTTGCTACGACGCAGAACAAACTTCTGAGTCATCTGCGGAGGAACGAGAAGGAGCTGTGTGGGGGACGCCACCCATCCTGCCAGCCTCAGGCCGCAGCCCCCTCTCCAGGCTGGACCCCCAAGAACCCCCTTTTTCTGGACTCCTGGAACAACTGGGTCTTCCCCTTCACTTAAGTTTCCACGCTCCAGGACCTCACCACAAGCTTAACACAGGACGTCCCCTGGGAGCAGTAAGCCTGACCTAGAGCAGGCTGTCCTACAGACTGCACTTGACCGGTTCCCTGCTTACTTTGCCTTTGATCGTTGCAACTCCTCAACTAGTTGGTAGGTTTAAAAAATTTTTTGTTACGAAATAGTACGTATATATATATATATCTATATATACACACACACATATTCACACACAGGAATAATATAACCCATTTATAGCAGTTGTAATGTGTCCTTCTAATCTCTCTACTTTTTTAAAGGAACAAAACATTAGAGCTTCAAGCTACGTTCCCACCTCCTCTCCCTTCCCTCTCCCATGCTTATCTCCTTTCACCACATGCAACTTTCCGTACGAAATGTACACCATTGTTTTATGTGTTGTGATTTATGTCAATGACATTATTTTGCACCTTGCTGTTTTTCACTCACGACGTGTTCATGAATTATTCAGGTTGATGTGCGAGGACTTGGCTCATTTATTTTAATTACTATAAATGTGCCCATCATAGAACTAATTTCTTTATCCTCTCCCGTCAGAGGATTGCTTTCACTTACTTCTAAAAATAGGTGTGCAGTGAAAATCCTTGCACACGCCTTCTTTGTCCATGCGGGAGAGTTTCTCCAGGGGCCTGCAGCCCCCTCGAGGACAGGGATTATAGCCTTCCTCCACACCAACCCTGTCCAGAAACGGGCACAGAGCAGGTTCTTGATATCTGGATGTTTGTTCGTTGAGTGAGTGAACTCAATACACTCAAGACCACCCAGACAGCACAGGTAAGGTAACTTCTGCTACCAGCCGGCTCAGCATCCACTCCCCTTTCCTGGCTAACGGAGGATGCCTCCCGAGTGGTAGACGGTTATTGGCTTAAGCCAGTCATAATAAGCCGGCTCCTGCTTCCCCAGCTCCCCACGCCGCCCAGCTGCAGCCACTGAGATTGAAGGGACATCTGGCGAGGAGTCTCGGAGCGGGGGGGGACTTTGATCCCCAGACCAAAGGGGGCTCCGAGACTGTCCGCAAAGGCAGCCCCGAGAAGATCTCCCGTACACACGCGCCTTTGCAACGCGACCCTGCCGTTCCTCCGTTAAGAGGTAGTTTATTTTTCACCTCTGTGACTGGCCTTGGGACTTGCTTTGTTTGACCAAAATGTAGAGGAGGTGACATTGTGGGACTTCCAAGCCTTTGAACGTCCAAGAACTTTAGCAGCAAAACCTTGCTCTCTTGCTTCTCTGAAACCACCATGCAAGAAAGCCCAGCGAGCCTGCTTGAGCAGGAGGAGGGCCAGAGAGGAAATATTTTAGGCTCCGTGGGCCATACAGTCTCCATCACAACTCTGCTGCCGTAGCACGAAAGCAGACATAGATCATCTGGGAGAGAATGGATGGCCAGGTTCCCATATATCTTTACAAAATCAGGCAGCGGGGCCTCAGAGAATGAGAGAGCATCTGAGGGAGACAGTTTGCTATTGCTGCCATACTAGAATACCACAAACGCGGAGGCTTAACACGGATTTATTATCTTACAGTTCTGGAGGTCAGAGATCCAAAATGGGTCTTACAAGGGTAAAATCAAGGTGTCAGCGGGGTTGTTCTTTCTGGACGTTTTAGGAAAGGGTCCATTCCTTGACTAGTCTAGCTGGTAGAGGCTACCCACACTCCTTGGCTAGCGGTGTCCCCCCACCCCCCCCCCGCCCCCCAGCCATGACAATCCTCTGACCTCTACTTCTGTCACTGTATCTCCCACTGCAGCATCCAGTGCCAGACTTGTGAGCAAGGCCATCTTGGACAATAGGCCCCCCACGGAGCCATCACCTGACTGCCGTCACTGAGGGAGCCCCAGAAACCACTAGAAGAACCGCCACCTAATCCCAGCCCCAACTCTGACCCTGAGTCACGCGCTAATAAATATTTGTTGTTTTGAGCCACTAAGTTTTGCAGTGGTATCTTATGCAGTGGTAACCAACTGACTGACACAGGGACAGACGTTAATAGAGCCACTTTTTTGTGCCCTTCCCTGCTTTTCCTTTTTTTCAAAATTTTGTTTGTTTTCTTTATTTCGAGACAGAGACGGTGCAAGCAGGGGAGGGGCAGAGAGAGAGAATCCGAAGCAGACCCTGAGCTGCCAGCGCAGAGCCAGACGTGGGGCTCGAACCGTGAGATCATGACCTGAGCTGAAACCAAGAGGTGGAACGCTCAACCGACCGAGCCACCCAGGCACCTCCCCCTCGCCCCCTTCTCTCCTGTTCTGCCTCGAGAGGAGATAGGATTATCTGGAGCTGCAGCAGCCACCTTGCAACCTTGAGGGAAAACAAACAGAATCACGATATGATTCCACCTTGGTGTGCTGCCTAAATACCAATGGGTTTTGTTCTGTTTTGAATTTCTTTTCAGGCGAGAAGATCAACCCCTGTTTGTTATAATACTATGACTTCTCAAATTACTATCGTACTATAAGTTCTGATGAGGGGGAGGTAAGGAAGTGCTGAATCACTGTATTGTACACCTGAAAGCAACATTACACTGTATATTAACTAACTGGAATCTAAATAAAAGCTTGAAAAAAAAATAACTTCTAACGAATACACAGCAAGTTGCCAGGCCTCTGAGGTAGCTGGGAAAGGATTAGGAATAGCCAAGAATTAATTTTTTTTTTTTTAGTGTTTTTATTTTTGAGAGAGAGAGCATGCAAGTGAGTGGGGGAGGGGCAGAGAGAGAGAGAGAGAGAGGGAGACGCAGAATCCGAAGCAGGCTGTAAGCTCTGGGCTGTCAGCACAGAGCCCGATGCGGGGCTCAAACCCACAAACCGTGAGATCATGACCTCAGCTGAAGTCAGATGCTTAACCGACTGAGCCACCCAGGGGCCCCCCAAGTAACCAAGAATGAAGAAGACAGAAACGCCATTTCACCTGACTATATTCTGTTTCCTCTCCTGAGACCGATATGGCACCGGCAGAGCACTCAGGGAACGTGCTCCCTGGGGAGGGAGAGCACGGCCAGGACCCAGACGCAGAATATCTGACAGGTGCTTGGGCCCAGCCTCACCGATAAGACTTGGAGCTCTTGTCCCTTGGCCGTGTCTTCTGTGAAGAGGGGTGACTCATGGCAGTTATGAAACTCTGAGGCCCATGTGTATTTACATGTTGCCCTTTCACTGCTCTGGCCAGGGAGGTTTCCAGCTTGAGGTAGTTATCCCAAGGGAATCTTGTTGGGAACGAGGAGTGGCTGGAAGGACATAGCCCTTGACTCATAGGGAAGAGTCGATAGAGCACACAGGTGAAGGCCAGGTGGTTGTTTCAGAGGAGGGAAATATCCCAGGGCCAGCCTGGGTCCCCTTCTGCTGCACCTTCCTTCTTTCTAGAAGGTACCAGTGCAGTCTGTGGAGAAATCCCCACACTTCCTTACACAGACACACACAGAGACCCCTCCCCCCTCCCCACACACACCTGGACACAGATAGACACAGACACAACCCCCCCCCCAAACCAGTAATGTGACCTCCAAAAGCCCTCTTCTTCTCCGTTTTGCAGATGGCAATAATGGCTAATGTTTACTGACTGCTTACCATCACCCAGGGCCCGTGCTAAGAGCCTTACTTGCATTAGCAAAGAAAATTCTCACAGGAAGCCGTAGGTGGGTTTTTTTAAATGCTCATTTGACAGGCAAGGAAACTGAACACACAGAGGTGTGAACCCAGAGAATTGTCCAAGGTCACGCAGGCTGGAAGCTGGGCAGCCGAGATTAGACATCTAGCATTCTGACTCCAGAGCTCAAACTCTTAGCCACACCCCTGTTCCGCCAGCAGAGAAGGAAAGTAAGGCTCAGAGAAGTTAAGTGACTTGCCTGATGTTGCAGGCCCGTGGTTTGCAGTCTCGATACGGGTACCTTGCTTTTGTTCTCTCTCTCTCTCTCTCTCTCTCTGTCTCTCTGACACCCCTGGCGGCCTCTGGGCCCTCTTGACAATATCACCCGCCGTCCCCAGCGCAGGTCCCGGACTGTGGCAAAGTGAGCACTAGACCACGAGTGGGAAAGTCAGATTTGCACCTCATTTCTGCCCTTCACTCATTCCGTGACCTTGGGCAAATCAGTAAATCAGTGCTGTCATCTATAAATCGAGACCGGGGTTTGCCCCTGCCGGCCGAGAGGATTTCATTGGTCAGATGTAGTTAGGGGTGTGGACACCGCTGGATCAACTGCGGGTTGTTGGTGGTGTTTCTGTTGTTTTTCTGATGCCTGGCCTCAGGGAAAGTGTTGTTTGGGACTAGCATTCGACCTGCAGGGCCCTGTTGTGGCAGCTGGGTTTAAGTGTGGGGTTTCCTGCTCCTGCTCAAAATCACCACCCTCCATAAAACGCTCGGGGATGCAAGGGTTTAGCAATCGGTTCTTGCGTCAGGAACACTGAATAGCCCCATTCTATCCTCTTCTCCGCCCAGGTGCTGGCTCGCTGGCTGACAGGAGGGAGGGCACCCGGGGGAAGGATAGGTATTTCCTCTCCCGCCACCCGCAAGTGCCCGTGGTAAGGACGTGGGACTTGTGGGTCTCTCCCCAACACCTCCTGCAAAGTGCTAGTCCTCTGGGGAATAGAGAGTCGGGGAGCCAAAGCCAGGCTCGGGAATGGGGTGCGGGGCAGGAAGGGATTGGGCAGCGGCCCCCACCTCACCCCCCCCCCACCCCACCTGCAGAAGCCCCAGTCCTGTCCTGCCGCTGATCAGCCCTGCCACAGGGCAAGTTGCACGCTCTTTCTGAGCAGAATGGGAGCCATAGCTCAGCCCCATCCTGGAGGGAGGTGAATGTGCATTTGCGTCCGCACTTTTCGGAACTACGTCTTCAGTAAGGGTCAGCCATGGCCATCGCTATTATTACTCTATGACTCTGCCTGGCCTGTTTGACCCCAGAGGCACTGTGGAAAATCCACAGTTTCAGTCCCTTGGGTCCTGCCACCATGACCTTGAAACGGTTCCCTCCGACCTCCACGAACCTCCTTTTTGGGGACGGAACTACTCCCACCAGGTCTGCGGGGGCAGTGGTGTGAATTCAATGAGAAAATCGGTCTGCAGGACCCAGCTCAGTGCCTGGTGCAGAGGAAGTGCCCATCAATGGTGGCCTTTATTATGACTCGGGCTTGGATGGGACCCTGAGGGAAGAGGAGCCCCGGAACAGAGGAAGGATTGTACGGAGGTGAATGGGGGAAGGGGGGCTCCGGCGGGGAGCGTCCTCGCCCTCCTGTGCCGGCTGAGCCCTACTTGCACTCCATTCTTTGGGGTGGCGTTTATTCTCACAGCCTGGGAACTGGCGAAGGCGAGGGATGCTTCCAGGATGCAGCAGCCTGGGGATTTTCCCATGCCCTCTGTTTGTTCCTATCCAGGGGCTCGCGGAACATGTTTAACCCTTTCCTACCCCACGAACCGTTTTCCCACAAACATCACTTGCGATGTGGACTCTCAGATGATTGTCATCCCTGAAGGCAAGAGACACTCAGAGGTGTCCCCGAGCAGAAGTGTGCTGGGGCTGCCGGTGGGTGCATCTCTTCCCCATTCTGCGCTCAGTGACCTCCTGTGGGTACTTGAGAACGGTCCTTACATCACAGACATCAACAAATATTACAGCCCAGAACCAATGGTCAAATATGGGCCAGCACCCACTGTCCCCCAAGAACCTGGAAATGAGGTATGGTCAGAATTAAAGCAGGATTGGGGCCCCTGGGTGGCTCAGTCGGGTTAAGCATCCGACCCTTGGTTTCGGCTCAGGTCGTGATTTCATGGTTCATGAGTTTGAGCCCCGTGTAGAGCTCTGCTCTGAGAGTGCAGAGCCTGCTTGGTATTCTCTCCCTCTCCCTCGCCCTCTCTCTCCCTCTCTCCACTTCTCTCTCTCTCTCAAAATAAAAAAAAATAAAACTTTAAAAAATGTTAAAAAAAAAAAAAGAATTAAAGCAGGGTTGGTCTTCAGTGGTGGAAACCAGAGAACAGACCATGCAACCCCCAGTTCCTAGCAAGGTGAACTGGAGAGTAGTGAAGGTACTTCGGTGGGCAAATAGTTGGCCTGAGGTCTATTTGGAGAACGATAGGAACGGGCTGGAGTGAGCAGCAAGGGAGCTGGTCAGAGAAGAAGCTTCAAGCAGCACCGATGGGGTGAACGGAGCCATAGCGTCTATCACCCACATCGCTGCCTGGGTACCCATCCTGCCGACTTCCCTCCCCCGTGTAGCTGGGCGCCCCACCAGTGGACTGGTGGACCATTTTCTTACGGTTCTGGAGGCCACAAGTCCAAGATGGAAGTGTCAGCACGGCTGGTTTCTTTTGCGACTTCTCCTTGGCCTCCAGGTGGTCACCATGTCCTCACACGGTCGTCTCTTGCCATGTTTGTTATCCGTGTCCTAATCTCCTCCTCCTAAAAGACACCGGCCATATTGGATTAGGGCCCACCCCTACGACCTCGTGTTCACTTACGTACCTCTCTGAAGGCCCTATCTCCAAATACAGTCCCAGTCTTAGGTACTGGGAGTTATGATTTCAGCATATGCTTTTGGAGGGAACACAAATCGGCAGGTAACCTCAATGACTGGTCAAGACATGGGCATGTGACCCGAGTCTGGCCAATAGTAAGAGAGGATGGAGTAGGGGTGGAGTAGGGGCCTCTGAGGAAAGTCTCCTCCCTCCTAATGGATAGCACAGGGTTGATAGCACAATTGTCTCCCTTTGAACATTGTCACACTGGGATGTGATATGGGAACCTGCTGCAGCCATGCGGAGGCCAGCCTGCGCGTGGAACGGATGTGGAGGATAGGGACGGGGAGCGCCCCGTGGTGGTTGTGCTGGTGAACCAGTCAACCCTGGAATCGGCCCAAAGTTGTCCTTCGGGTTTAAGAGGATATAAATTAAATCATCCTGAAACATCCCGGTCTCCATTTGAAGCAGAGATGGTCAGGGGTCCACCTACATACCTAGTCTTGCCATCCACCTGTGCGGAAGGCAGGACACATTTCCCGGCTTCTCCGGAGGTTGGGTTGGCCGTGTGACCCAATTCTCACGAGTGGAATGTGCAGACGAGCGGAGGGCACGTGCGTCATTCCCAGGCTGACGTGGGTGTGCCCCC